ATAGATAGATAGATAGATAGATAGATAGATAGATAGATAGATAGATATGAGAGAGAGAGAGAGGCAGAGAGAGGGAAAGAGAGAGATAAGAGATAGATATACAGAGATAGTGATAGATAGAGAGAGAGAGAGAGAGAGAGATACAGATGATTGATAAATATACAAAGGATAGATAGAGACAGATGAGAGAGAGAGAGACAGACAGACAGACAGACAGACAGACAGATGATAGAGAGACAGAGAGATAAAAGATATAATAGACAAAGACAAAGCAAAGGAAAAAAAGGGAATTACATAACATAATGAGGCACCATGAACAACTAAATGCCAAAAAGGTGTTCAAATAAAATGATTTTGACCCATTTGTAAAATGCAAGGAAAGTGGGATCACCCATACTCTCAGATGGCCACCATAAAATGGCTTGTTACTTTGTCCCGTGAACTTCACATGCACAGGTAGTCCTTGACTTACCATGACAATTGGGCCTAGAAGTTCCATTTGGTATGCAAGGCCAAATGAATTGCACCCAACTTGATGGGCTGTTTTTGGCCCAGCTGAACAAATCACCACAGTCATTATGTGAATCGCATGAATGTTAAGCAAATAGGGCTTCCCCAATGAGTTTGATCACATGACCTCAGATATTGTGCAACAGGTTAGTTCAAGGACCAGTCATAAATCACATTTTCCAGGGCCATCCTAATTTCAAACACTTGTTAAATAAAGGATTGTATGCCAACGACTACCTATATTCTCCTTAAATATCCAGTTTCTCAGGTCCTACACTGTGTGGCATTGCTTGAGATGTCTACGTGCAAGAACGCAAGCAAACAGTCAGTCAAGGAGACCCAAACTCATTGGTAGCCTCACATTGCAATGAACAAAGACATACATTCAATTTTGCAGCTACTAAGATTGTTGGAAGAGCAGGGACAAAAACAGCCAGGGAAGTGATTGAAGCCTGGAAAAGAGGCCTCTTGTTCACAAGTCAACAAGACTGCTAATTTGCCACCAACTTATCAGATACTTAAGAGACAAGGACTTGACAGCCCAAGGAAACAACAGCAACAGCCAATCACCAACCATCAACATACCAGACAAACCAAGAAGAAGGCACCACAACAATAAGACTCACAGAATAGCCCAAAGCATCTATTCCAGTAGAGAGACATTCTCCAAGGATGGGCTCCAGCATGAGTCCAAAATCTTGGAAGACTAAGACTCTGGTCCTGATGACCAACCCAGATTGGATCAACATTATCCTGGAACACATATGTTTTATTTGCCTTCATTCGTTAATATACCTATGGATTTGTTTTCAAGATAACCAGCACTAGGAATGGAGGCTACAACAAGAGCAACTTAAGAATCGATGTTAGACTTTGCAAATTTCTAGGCTCTATCATATCACAAGACCAAAAATGGACACCTAACATTAAAAACATCATCAAAAAAACACAACAAATAATGTTCTATATGCACCAACTCAGAAAGCTCAAACTGCCCAAGGAGCTGCTGATCCAGTTTCTACAGAGGAATGACTGAGTCTGTAATCTGCACCTCTATAACTGTCTGGATTGGCTCTGCAACCCAACAGGACAAACACAAACTTCAGAGAGTAAATAGGACTGCAGAAAAAGCAATTTGTACCAACCTGCCTTCCATGGAGGACCTGCATACTGCACGAGTTAAAAAGAGGGCTGTGAAAATATCCACAGACCCCTCACATCCCGGACATAAACTGTTTCAACACCTACCCTCAAAACAACGCTATAGAGCCCTGCACACCAGAACAACTAGAACAAGGGGAGTTTTTCCTCAAACACCATCACTCTGCTAAACAAATAACTCCCTCAACACTGTCCAACTATTTACAAAGTGTGCATTACTATCACTATTAATCTTCTCATCACTCCTTATCCCCATCCCCTCCTACTTGTGACTATATTACTAACTTTGTCGCTTGTATCCTTACAATTTATATTGACTGTTTCCTAGTATGATTTGATTGCTTATTGTAACCTATGACTATCATTAAGTGTTGTACCTGATGATTCTTGACTCTTGACTCTTTTCTTTTATGTATACTGAAAGCATTTGCACCAAAGACAAATTCCTTGTGTCACACTTGGCCAATAAAGTATTCTATTCTATGCTAATTTTTGGCCTATTGCAAAAACTTGGCCTATTCCAAGCAAACTTCAATCACATCTAAAACCTATTAACGCCAGCTGTCAGGTTTAGACTACCAAAATAAGCTCCCAGCTATTGTTCTGAATGGATATTCGTATTACATAATCAGCCCCTGAGTTTTTTCATTAATTTAATTAGGAAAACAGACCCTATTGTACAGAATATATGCCTTCAGAAACTTTAACCCTGTGTTTCCCAAGTACCTAATCTTCAGGGGGATCTCCTTATAACAAACTCTCTGGTTATATTAAAAAGTCTCCTGCTCTGGAAATATGTAAATATGGCTGTCCATTTCCCTCCTGTTGAATTTCAGTGGAGCTTTTCATTTTGAAAGACTGTTTGGTCATCACTTGAAGAGAAGTTGGTTGGTGTGAGACTGTTCCCAACATCCCATCTGCCCATCTGCACTTCTGAAGAAATTGTAGCAGAAAATCTATTGAGATTGGAAGTCATAAGACCCCTGGATAGATGGACATTAAAAATAAAGAACAAAAAAGACACAGAATATTACTTAACATGGAATAGATTTTATGAGTGGTCAGAGATAAGAGGTAGAAAGTAGGTGAAGAAAGATTACTGTTATGTACGAATTAAATACAAAGAGGGTTTATAGTTATAAACATGTTGATATAATTTACATAATTATAAACAAGAATAATATAAAGAGAAATCTAGTTAAAATGACTTCGTTACACTATTATTATTGTTATTCGTATACATGTTAATATCTGAGTTTGTATTCTTCTTGATTTTTTTTTGTAAATGATATGCCCTGACAATACACTGTGTTCAAAATGTTTATGAATAAAAATAAAACATATATTCCAAAAAAAAGGAAGTCATAAGACCCCACCAGCTTTCAACCCTTTTATATATTGATTACTCGAGCTTGATTTTTCTTTATTTCTATACCCAAGACATTTTTTTTTAATATCCTCAGAAAACACCATTATCATGATACTGGGAGCGATATTGTAGTGTTAACATACATATATACATACATACATACATACATACATACATACATACATATTATTCAACTTTGTTCGAGTATTTTCCCATGTCATTCTGGTTGTGCTTTTAAACTTGTAGTGACGTTTTGGCAGAATCTCATCTGCCATCATCAGGCTTGTGTATTGGGTTTGTCTGTGCGTCAGGCTTTCGCAGCCATTTCTGTTTTAAATATATATATGTGTGTGTGTGTGTGTGTGTGTGTGTGTGTGTGAGAGAGAGAGAGAGAGAGTGTGTGTGTGTGTGTGTGTGTGTGTGTGTGTGTGTTCCAGCATAGCTCTGGAAGGCCTTGAGCAATTTCAACCAAATTTTGGTACACAGATGACGTATTCTCTGGAAACAAATATTGTAGGGGTAAGACACCCCTAACACCCCTCAGGGTGTGGGGGGGTGTCTTAAAATGGCTTCTACTGTACAGCACAGTGAACTTGCCATGGTAACAGCTTCACAGTACTCCAGTTCTCCACAAGGGGGCTCCCTCTCAGCCCTCCAAGGAAACATCAGATGATTGGCCAAGTGCAATAAAAAATATGAAATACCAATGTAGACAAGAAATTCCAGAGGAGAGGAATAGACAACTTGCGATGCTATGCGAGAGACAGTACAACAGTGTGAGTCCCAACTACAGGGTATTCCTGTCTAATACAGGATTGGGATAAATAAATACCCAGGCAATGCCAGGCTATCGGCTAGTTTTTGCTAAAAATGCAGTCCAAAATACTATTTCCAGGTTTCTAAAGGAGCTCAACAAAGTCAACTGCCTGAGCAAAACTAGAAGACCAAGACCCTACTTTCCTTTTTGCATGGTTCCAAGAGGTTTCTTGGGGGGGAGAGGAGAGATTTATAGGGGATAGACACATACTAATAAGTACAATTTATGAAATTTGGCTTACTATGATGAGGAGGAGAAACCTTCTTAGGTTTGTATATACTTTTCTTGAAGGCAAAGCGTTACACATACTTGGCTGAACTCTTGAAATTGCTTATTCCAGTCCTCCATGATTGATTGAAGCAGGACAGTGTTCAGAGTAAAAGCCCAGAAGACTGCAATGAGACTGTTATATCCTGGTTTGCTTTGCACATTTAATCTGAAAGTAAGGTCTACATGGAATTTACCAAGCAGAACACAACCCGGTGAAAAGGATCAAATTTTGTGACCTGAACACCAGGCTGTAACTCCTCGTCATCAATCTAAAATCTGGTCTTCAACTTTCTAAGAAAATCTCCACCTTATGGCGTGAATTATTTCCTCAAACCAATCTGAACTCCTGCTGACTTATGATATTTTCTTGGCAACTGGTACCATCCAGTGTTTGTTCAGGATTTTGTCCCTTAAAAAAAAATATCCCTATAATTCAGAAATTTCCTGCTGGTGGGCCTTCCTTCAAATATTAACCAGGTCTGGCTATGTTTCATTTTCTTAGGATCAGTCAAGGTTGATTGAGTTTTATCGCTTGTTCTGGATATATTTTTTTTAACAATTATATTTCACAGTTCTATGTTTTGAAAAGCTGCACAAACTCCCTTTGGAAATTATTCATAAAACTGATTGAGCTGAGTTCCAGGGTAGTAGGACAAAACTTTAGAATAAACTAAATACAGTGGTTGCATCATTGTATATATTGTATTCTGTTGTATACATAGTTGTATAACTGTATCATTATTACCCTCAATTAACAATGGTTTGCTAAAAGAGCAAACGCCAAAACTTGGCATCTCTCTTAACACCCAAAATGGAAAAACAGGAGGAGGAGGAGGAGGAGGAGGAGGAGGAGGAGGAGGAGGAG